TGACTCACATGCGCGGGGCAACCCTCACCCTCCTAAATGACTCGTAAGGGCCCATTATTAATATTCTAAGAAAGTTTGTCCCTTTTCGCCCTTCTGAATAATACAGCAAAAGCAGTGAAGACATCAGAGCACATCTGACAGAGCCATGCAACATTTATGGCTGCTGTGGCGGAGGATCTGGCTGCTGTGTTTTCTGCTTCCTTTGACTTTCACAACCTACATGTCGACGGGTCTTGATGTCGGACTCGCCTAAAATAACCGCTCGAGGAGGAATTTTTGCTTCTTCCTTTCACCGAGCACTTTTATTCCAGTGAGTACTTTGAGCTCCTTTTTTTTTTTGTGTGTCTCTCACCTGCAACACTCAAGGCAAACTTCACAGCTGCATCCACAGTGCTGTGATCAGTAACCTGATCCACGATTCCAAGTTGCAGAGCCTCAGCAGCAGTCACGTGGCGGCCTGCGAGAGATGTGAAAGTCATTCAGGCTTTATATGAATGACATACGGCATATTAAATTACTAGAATATGACTAATATCAGTTCAGGTGGCGTTGTCATTAAGAGTTCTTGTACGTAGCCACAATATACACTGATTGTGGCCTTCATCAGATAAAAGGCAAAACACCACAAAATAAGAAAAGAATAAAGATAATAAAACATTCTTTAAGGGGAAAGGCTGAGGAATCACAATTTGTCTAAATAAAGATTTGTTCAGAATATTTCTGATAATCTGATATAGTAGTTAATCACAGAAGAGGCATTTTAGGAAGTCTTCATGGTAAAACTTAGCGCATGCTGCCCCCTGCTGGTGATAGCAACAAACAGCAGCTCCCTTCTTGTGTCTGGGAATTCTGTGCAATTAACCAGAGATGGCAAAAGTACTCACATTCTTTACTTAAGTAGAAGTAGATATACTTAAAAATAGACTCTGGTAAAAGTAGAAGTACTGATTCAACTCCTTTACTCAAGTAAAAGTAAAAAAGTACAGGTTCAGAAATTTACTTAAGTACAAAAGTGAAAAGTAAAAATGAAGTTTTAGCTTCGATGATACGCGAGGCCTCTTTTGATAACTCTGCAAAACGAAAAAAAAAGTTTTAAGCACACAAAATAGGATTGTTTTCATCCTTTAAGAACCTGCACAGTGCTGCTACAGAGAAATAAAACATCACTGGACAGTTTTCCATTTCAGCATCATTATAATCAACATGGAAACACTCGTCTCTTCAAGACTACCAACATCTTTTATTGAGCTTCAGTAGAAGCTGGTTCTCAAAGTTCTTGCCCGTTTGGGTCTGAAAATCAGTCCTGCAGTGTTAAAAAGCCTCTCGCAGGCAGGGGTGTGTGACAAAGTGCACGCTGCTGGGAAAGATAAAGATGTTTGTTGTTACGTCTTTTACGTCATGTCGTCATCTGCGGAGGTTCAAACAAGTAACGAGCCAGTTTTGGGGAAAAAAAATAATTCGCAAGAAAAAGTACAGATACCTGCAAAATCTACTTAAGTACAGTAATAAAGTATTTGTACTGCGTTACTTCCCACCTCTGCAACTAACTGCAGGGACATCCGTATGTTCTGTACTAAAATGCAATCAGATTTCAAAGACAAACAAACTGTGAGAAACAGACTAAGGCGTTTTATGTCTTCTTCATATGCGCTTAGGCCTTTAAAACTTGTATTAACACTGTAAAAGTCAGACAGAGTTAACCTGTGGTTGCTACCTGTGGTGATGAGGTCTAAGGCAGCTGGAACCCCAATGAGCCTTGGCAGACGCTGAGATGCCGTCTCAGCTGGCAGTAGACCCAGAATCACCTCTGGAAGCCCCAGTTTGGCCTGGAAGGACATAAAGGCACAAAATTGGACGTACAGAAGATGCTGAACTGTGTGGGTTTGCCACAATGACATTCACAGATACAGCTTCCTCTGTCTAATGGAAATGCTACATGGTTTATTACATGGATGAAAAAAGATGAAACTGTCACACTGTTGACAGACAGATTTAAAGTGACAAGTTTGAGCTCTAAAACATGAACGAACTTTAGAATGTGAGATGCGATAATGACAGCCAAGTGCTAACAAAAGGCCTCCACCTAAAGCGACCCCCTCTATGGCTGCCACCACCGGCTTGGTCGAAGCCTCGATGGCGTGGATCAGCGGTGTCAGTGGAGGACCAGACATCTTTGTCCCAAACTCCCTGATGTCTGCTCCTGTTACAAAAAATCAAATTGGCAAAATGATCAGGAAGCTCAAAGAGAAAGACAAAGGTGACGCGCTATAGTATGAAGTGCACATGGTCCTACAAAATGTTTGCTCCTGTGTGTGATCTTTGAATTGTTTTAAAATCTAATCTGATTTTGATCAATAAAAAAACAGATTCAGTCATTTCTGTTGTTTAAAAATTACTTCAGCTTTTCAAATATGACTATTTGCCACTTATCTGTATCTTATGTGATGGATATCTTTTGGTTTTAGATGTTTTTTTTCCTTTTTTTTTTGGAAGTTTCATTGACCAAAACTAATCAATTTATTAAGCAAATGATCAGCAAGTTAATCAGTGATGAAAACATTTGTCAGCTACAGCCCTACTGTGGACTCACATTAAAATATTCTTCTGTAGTACACACTTATTAATAATTAACTATGTTTACTGCACTTGTTTTTTAACAAGTGCAATTAAAAAATAACAAGTGCACTAGTTATTTAACAAGTGAAACCGTGTCATAATTTACTTTTGATTTTGTCGTTAAGATTTTTCCCTCTGAATGTTGTGACTGCAGCAATTATATTTGTTTTGCTTCCTGCAATAAATGCATCTCACAAATCACCACTACATTAACTGTAATGTGGACACACATAAAAGAGAAGGCCGTAAATTGTTTTTTGTCCTTTTAATTAAGAATGTTTATTAGGCTGCTATTAAGTTTTGATTTTGTCAGTAGAAATATGATTTTTAAATCCAATTTCTGTTCTTAGCTGTGAAGACTTTTTGAGTGTCAGTTCACTCGGCCCTGCTGACTTACTGAGGACCTGAGCAGTTCACGTATTCTATATTATAAAAATCACTGAAGAGAAAACACCAAGAAAACAATGTGGGATTAAAACATGCATTATTTGCAACCAGAATGACATTAATGTGTGCCTGTTTTGACTTAAACAACTTATTGGTATGCTGATACCAGTTTCCACCTGAAACTGTGAAATGACAGATTTGAAGTTGTGTCACCGCTGTCATGTTACAAGAAACAAAAAGAAAAGGGTCCATACCTCCACAGAATGTTTCCTTCTGGCCACAGATGACTAAAGACTTCACTTCCGGAGCACTGAGGGCTCTCTCCATCGTGTCAACGACGCCTTGCCTCACCATCGCACTGCAGAATAAATTGACTTTTGTTTTATTTGCTGTTTTGTTACTGTTTAAACCAGGGCCGAAAAATAAATCCATCTGGAAATGAAATTGTAATTTTAATCAGTGCAAATAGTAAAGGCTGCAGTTTTGGATGAACGTCACGCAACCCGTCTGATGCAAAAAATATCAACAAGCGATCACAGCATCTGTCAGAAAAATAGCAACTGCACATTTCCTCCAAATTGTTAAGTCTGACTTCAAATGGGACAATAAAACCTTTCCACTACAGCCCTCCTTCCAAAATTCAGAACTAATATTTAGCAATATGACAACATGATGTGAATCTGAAGTACACTAAATTTTACTTCATCATTTTGCTGCAACCTAAATATACAACTTAATAACTGCCATCTGCTTGTTTTCTATAGTTTCACTCTTTAATGTCACAAATCATTTCTGATAAACTCATTTCAAATGAACAGCCATGTAAAAGCGCAACATGATAAAAAGTTAAATTCAAAAGATATGCATAATTAAGAATAAAACATACATTATATATGGAAGACGCTTCTGAAAATAGGGCAATGCTGGCCTAAATAGAGTGCAAATGGAATAAATGTTGGGGAAAAGGCTTCTTTCCTTCTTCACAATCACCACTGAGCCTATGTGCTCTGGTGGAGCTGCCAGTGAGCAGCAGATCCAGCTGTCGTTGTATGTGTTGGGTAGTTTGAGTGTTGCTGAAAAAGAAAACATTGCTCACTGCCAAACAGCCATTAGTAAATTATTTATTTACAGTTCTGTAATCAGTATGTCTGTGTCGAGTGGACAAGTTGAATTCAGGTCAACGGTGGGAAAAAAAAATCTGATTTTTAACCGAGAAGTACAGCACGACAGTAATTCTCTCCAAAAATGTAAGCTAAGAAGTATAACATAATGGAGGACAAATAAAATTAGACTTTATAATCTATTTAATAGGAGCAAAATCCTTTCCTTTAGCACCACCCTCTGACAAAACACTTGGCCTTGTCTGCACAAAGACAAGTAACTGCGCACAAAACTTTTTTCACTTGTTTACTTCTTCTTGTGCAACTTTGGGTTAGCTAGTGCAGCTACAGCTAAAGCTTCCACTAAAGAGCAGCATTATGCAAATCATAAGTTACAAGAAAAAGGATATTAACATGTAAAAAAAAAAAAAAAGTTCTGCAGTCTTGACTTGAGCTCACCTGAGTGCATTAACAGGCGGGTTTTGTAGCGTTATCAAGCCGACAGACCCCGCAACACGAGTGTATTGAGCCATGATGGTGTTGAACGAAGACTGCAACCTGTCGCACTTCTTCTCGGAACTTTGANTTTGGATGAACGTCACGCAACCCGTCTGATGCAAAAAATATCAACAAGCGATCACAGCATCTGTCAGAAAAATAGCAACTGCACATTTCCTCCAACTTGTTACGTCTGACTTCAAATGGGACAATAAAACCTTTCCACTACAGCCCTTCTTCCACAATTCACAACTAATATTTAGCGATATGACAACATGATGTGAATCTGAAGTACACTAAATTTTACTTCATCATTTTGCTGCAACCTAAATATACAGTTTAATAACTGCCATCTGCTTGTTTTCTATAGTTTCACTCTTTAATGTCACAAATCATTTCTGATAAACTCATTTTAAATGAACAGTCATGTAAAAGCGCAACATGATAAAAAGTTAAATTCAAAAGATATGCATAATCAAGAATATAACATACATTATATATGGAAGACGCTTCTCAAAATAGGGCAATGCTGGCCTAAATAGAGCGCAAACGGAATAAATGTTGGGAAAAAGGCTTCTCTCCTTCGTCACAATCACCACTGGGCCTGTGTGCTCTGGTGGAGCTGCCAGTGAGCAGCAGATCCAGCTGTTGCTGTATGTGTTGGGTAGTTTGAGTGTTGCTGAAAAAGAAAACATTGCTCACTGCCAAACAGCCATTAGTAAATTATTTATTTGCAGTTCTGTAATCAGTATGTCTGTGTAGAGTGGACAAGTTGAATTCAGGTCAACGGTGGAAAAAAAAAAATCTCAACAGAGAAGTACAGCACGATGAGTGAAGCTTTGCATTGAAAATATTACAAATAAATAAATAGTACAAATGTATTGTCCGCAAAATGTACTTTAAAGCAATGAAAATCTAATTATGCAGAAGTATGGCTGCTGTCTGTGTCATAATACTGAATAGTTTATAATTATTACAATACAAGAAGCAGCTAATTTTAATGCAACCAACTGTTACATAAACTGTTAACCAGTAACATCGCATTTTAAAGGTCATCACAGATTTAGGATGTTATAAATTAATTTGCAAAGCGGTTAATACAGCTGTCAGCCCACTGCAGTAACTTTCCAAAAAATGTAAGCTAAGAAGTATAATATAATGGAGTACAAATACCTCAAAATTACACTTTATAATGTATTTAATAGGAGAAAAATCCTTTCCTTTAGCACCACCCTCTGACAAAACACTTGGCCTTGTCTGCACAAAGACAAGTAACTGCGCACTAAACTTTTTCACTTGTTTACTTCTTCTTGTGCAACTTTGGGTTAGCTAGTGCAGCTACAGCTAAAGCTTCCACTAAAGAGCAGCATTATTCAAATCATAATTTATAGGGAAAAAAATGTTTGGAAGGATATTAACATGTACAAATAAAAGTTCTGCAGTCTTGGTTTTGACTTGAGCTCACCTGAGTGCGTTAACAGGCGGGTTTTGTAGCATTATCAAGCCGACAGACCCCGCAACACGAGTGTATTGAGCCATGATGGTGTTGAACGAAGACTGCAACCTGTCGCACTTCTTCTCGGAACTTTGAATCGCCTGGACGGGCAGGACTTTATCACCTTTATCACACTTTCCCTCCCCTACATGTCACAGCTGAACTGGGCTTTCCTCTATGGAGAAATGATCTTCTTCGTCTTCTTGGCTCCTCAGTGCTGTTTTCAAAATGGCGACACTCGGAGCTTTACCGCCCTCTAGTGGACGGGAGGTAAATAGAACCATTAATTTATGAAATGAAAAATACTTTATTTATCCCAGAAGGGAAATTCAATAAATGTTTATTATTATTATTATTTGTTTATTTTCTTCTTTTATTAATTTCAAGTTAAATTGAATATCATGAGGCAAAGTGGTCACTGCAATCTGGGACTGCCTGTTGGAGGAATTCATGGCTGTGCCCCCCACAGAGGACTGGAGGTCCATTGCAGAAGATTTTGAGGAGCGGTGGAATTTCCCTCTCTGCTGTGGAGCACTGGATGGCAAGCATGTTGAACTTTTTCTTTAGTTCTCCTTGCAGTTGTAGATGCAAAATATTGTTTCCGGGTGACTGATGTAGGGGGGTACGGAAGAACGAGTGATGGTGGGATTCTGACCAATTCAGTTTTTGGTCAGTCACTCCGAGCTGGAACCCTCCAACTGCCTGCTGACCGGCCACTACCAGGAGCTGACACCTGAGGACCCCAGCCACACGTCTTTGTTGCTGATGAGGCCTTTCCCCTCTAAAGAAACCTCATGAGGAACCTCTCTTCCCAGTGGCGGATGTACAGGCATGCCATCGAGGTACATCCTGATGTTGCGAAGAAGTGCGTGAAGGCAACCTGTGTTCTCCACAACTTCATGCGGAGGTCATCAGAAGTACCTGCAGTGAGGGGAAGCATGTCGGCTGGTGAGGTGGAGCCACTGCCAGGTCTAGGTCGTGTTGCAGCCAACAACTCTGCCAGAGAAGCCGTCCGGGTGAAGGAAGCCTTCATGGCATACTTCTCTGCGGAGGGAGCGGTCCCATGGCACCATGTCGTGCACAAAGCAGCACACCACAACGGCTCTTTTAAGAGCCACCCACATGTTACTTTTGAGCAAAGGTCCTGCAATATTATATTTTNGTATTGAGCCATGATGGTGTTGAACGAAGACTGCAACCTGTCGCACTTCTTCTCGGAACTTTGAATCGCCTGGACGGGCAGGACTTTATCACCTTCATCACACTTTCCCTCCCCTACATGTCACAGCTGAACTAGGATTTCTTCTATGGAGAAATGATCTTCTTCGTCTTCTTGGCTGCTCACTGCTGTTTTCAAAATGGCGACACTCGGAGCTTTACCGCCCCCTAGTGGATGGGAGGTTAATAGAACCATTAATTTATGAAATGAAATGAAAAATACTTTATTTATCCCAGAAGGGAAATTCAATAAATGTTTATTATTATTATTATTATTATTATGTTCATTTTCTTCTTTTATTAATTTCTAGTTAATTTGAATATCATGAGGCAAGGTGGTCACTGCAATCTAGGACTGCCTGGTGGAGGAATTCATGGCTGTGCCCTCCACAGAGGACTGGAGGTCCGTTGCAGAGGGTTTTGAGGAGCAGTGGAATTTCCCTCTCTGCTGTGGAGCACTGGATGGCAAGCACATCAAACTTTTTCTTTAGTTCTCCTTGCAGTTGTAGATGCGAAATATTGTTTCCGGGTGACTGATGTAGGGGGGTACAGAAGAACGAGTGATGGTGGGATTCTGGCGAATTCAATTTTTGGTCAGTCACTCTGAGCTGGAACCCTCCAACTGCCTGCTGACCGGCCACTACCAGGAGCTGATGCCCGAGGAACCCAGCCACACGTCTTTGTTGCTGATGAGGCCTTTCCCCTCTAAAGAAACCTCATGAGGAACCTCTCTTCCCATGTGGCGGATGTACAGGCATGCCATCGAGGTACATCCTGATGTTGCGGAGAAGTGCGTGAAGGCAACCTGTGTTCTCCACAACTTCATGCGGAGGTCAGCAGAAGTACCTGCAGTGAGGGGAAGCATGTCGGCTGGTGAGGTGGAGCCACTGCCAGGTCTAGGTCGGGTTGCAGCCAACAACTCTGCCAGAGAAGCCGTCCGGGTGAAGGAAGCCTTCATGACATACTTCTCTGCGGAGGGAGCGGTCCCATGGCACCATGTAGTGCACAAAGCAGCACACCACAACGGCTCTTTTAAGAGCCACCCACATGTTACTTTTGAGCAAAGGTCCTGCAATATTATATTTTATATCAGTACCAAAATAAATACATAGATGTGTGCAGTGCTTTTACTTTTTTAAATATATTTTTGTTCAGAATGCTGAATCTTAAGGATATCATCTTACCTGAACTTTAATGTAAATCAAATTTCTACCTCAGTGTTACCTTTAGTTTAAATAAGTCAAACTTTGGTCCCTTTTGAAAAATAATCATATTTATTTACAAAAAAAAGATACTGTACATACGAACAACAAAAATATAAAAAACTACATACACAAATATAAACTATTTACAAACAGGAATAAAAAGGAGCTTGCTTGGAGGAATGAGAGGAGTGAAGGGAAGAGTGAGGGACAAGAAGGAGAGGAGAAAGGAGAGATGAAGCCTGCTTCCTTCCCTGCAGAGATTGTTACCCCAATTTAAAAACCGTCGGCTGCTCCCTCGACCTTGTTTGTAGCCTCCTCCTTGGGGTCACTGTATATATTATAAACAAGATATTTTGAGATGCTGGAGCATTTTACTCAATCCAATACTTTGTTAAAGTAACCAAGGAACACACAAAAGTTATGTGAGTATAAAATGAAAGGCCATGAACACAGTACAATGGAAAAGCAAATATGCAGAATAATAAAATATTCACATTCAAATAGCTGGAATCACATAATATCCTTTTTCCTTTAAGAAATTGCTCAAAGTAATTCATTTCAAAAACATTTAGTGATCAGTGTCATAACTGATAAATAACCTTGTTGCTCTAGTCGCGTACATACCTCTGGGCACAGCAGCCGATGTGGAAGGGGCTTCCACGGCAGGTTCAGGAGGGGCAGAAGCAGCAGCAGGTTCTGGCAGCGACAGGTGGCCCGCATCACTGCCTTCGCCATCATCAGGGATGGGACCTGGATGTTCTGTAGTGACAATATATAAATGCACCCATTTTAATGCTGTGTGCATGTGTGTCTTTAGATGTCAACAAACCTTGGTCCTCATTCTCTGACTGCCCTGCTGCTGCTTCTGTGTCTGGTCCCTGTTCATCAATTAGGTCGTACTCTGCAGCCCTGTGTTCCTCCACCACCTCCTCCATGTTACCCGATGTTTCTCTCGGGGTAACGAAGGGGTCGAGGAAAGACAGGACTGCAGAGTGCTTCCATCTCTTCCCTGTCTCTGCTGCTGAGCCACTTCTCCTCTCTGTCTCCTTTCTCCTCTCCTTCAAATATGTGTCCCTCAGGCTCTTCTTGCATGACTCCACTGAAGAAAAACACGTAAATATGAACTAGTGAAGCCAAAATTAGCGTCTTTGCCACGACGGCGGTTGTGCTAATCGGGGCAGTGCTTGCTAGTAATACCGATAGCTGGAATTAAATGACAGACAAATGTTTTCACAACTGACCAGGTTCTCCGACCTCCTCACTCACTTTCTTCCAAGCAAGCTCCTTTTTATTCCTGTTTCGATAAAAAAAAGAAAAAGAAAAAGGAGGCTGTGTCATATCGCTCCGGGTGGACTCACACGGCAACAATGAGCTTTTCCTCCACTTTTCAAAGAATGAATGAGTAGCCGGTGCCGGCCGGTTCCTGACGTCACCAGAGAATCTCAACGCTGATTGGCCATCGCGGCGCGTCAGATCGCAAGAGTTCAGATTTTTCAACTTGCTCTTTGACGCGCGTCAAATTCGCTCAATTCTGAACACAGCATTATGCGTCCCGACCCGCTCCGCACCGACCGTGCACCCGTCGGTGGAAAGAGGCTTCAGTGTCACGTCGGTTTACCGAGAGGAACAGCTGCAGACAAGCGACACATCATTATAAAGCTGCACGCGCCCTCGCGGTGGTCTAATCAGTTTCTGGCAAACTATCACTTTATCGAACATCACCATAATAATTTGAAACGAACACTTTACACCGTTCAGAGATTCCCTTTTAAATTAGGCTCGAACAACTTCACCGCAAAACAGCAGAGATACAGTCTTCATACCGTTTGGCAAAGTAAATTCTGTTGGGGTTGTTCCTGAGCTGCTATCTCTCCAACGTTTGGGGGAAAAGCTGACGTTTTACTGATGTCTGTTCATTTGCAGAGTATGTCGTGTGTTCTGCATTAAGGACGATACCGTTAGAGAAATGTGCGTGGTGGGTTGACAACGCCATTTGAACTTATGCATGGAGGGAAAGAAAAAGGAACGTGGGACCAGTCACAATTCATGGTTGCTTTCTGGCCTTGTGGATAAAAAGACAGAACAACAGAAAATGAAAGTGATGATTCAGGGTGTGTGATGTCAGTGTCATCACACTGATACAGCCAACAAAACCAGATGAACAGTGATAAACACTGAAACCACAATGTGACATTTCCCTGCTCATGAATTCTTCAGCCTCCACTGTTTAGACGACATAAACTATTAATACCAGGGCGTCTGCTGGAGGGTTTTTACTCCAATCTAGCTTACATTTGATGTAGTTTGATATGATATTATTGAAATAAACGCGGGGAGACTTTAAAATCTATTCAGAACATGAAATAGCAGCACTTTCCGCGGGCAGTAAATGTTCCCTTTGCGCGTCAAAGGAGTCATATTGATGCCAAAATCCCTTCTGTGCCACATTATATCTAATATTTATCAGCTAAACTTACCCACATCGAGTTAGTATCTGCCATATTTTTATCCTTTTTACAGCAGATGTACAGTAACAGTTCTGCATCCACAACATGAACACGACTACCAAACACCCTGCATATTTTCTTTTTCCATCAGTGGCACTGAGATTGATTTCTGGGAACACAGATAAGCTATGAAATAAGCACGGGAAACTAACTTACAGTGACACCAGCCCAAGTGGCAGCACCAGTGCAGCTTGAAGCACTTCCCGTGGCTGTGCGTAGCGCAGATGGAGAGTCCATCGCAAGGCAGGAAGTCTGGTCTCCCCGCGCAGCTCTTGGCCAA